CACACACACACACACACACACACAAACGCAACATTTTGCACACCACAACACCAGCATCCACTGCACCCGGCATCTCACCTCCCAAACCAACAAACCAACCAACCAACCCAACAGGTTCAGCCAGGGGGACGTGTCGACGTACGAGGAGCGAGCCATCTGCCATCCGCACGGCGTTTGCGACGTGGAGTTCCCGCGCGGCACCAGCGACCTCTTTGCCACGTGCTCCCACCACAGCGTACGCGTCTGGCACACCCCGACCGGCAAGCAGCTCCTCGCTATCAACGTGCGCGCACACCAGTGGTGGTGGTGGTGGTGGTGGTGGTGGTGGTGGTGGTGGTGGTTTGGGACTTGTTGTTGTTTAAGTTGTTGTTGTTGTTTAAGTTGTTGTTTAAGTTGTTGTTTAAGTTGTTGTTTAAGTTGTTGTTGTTGTTGTTGTTGTTGTTGTTGTTGTTTAAGTTGTTGTTGTTGTTTAAGTTGTTGTTGTTGTTGTTTAAGTTGTTGTTGTTGTTGTTGTTTAAGTTGTTGTTGTTTAAGTTGTTGTTGTTTAAGTTGTTGTTGTTTAAGTTGTTGCTGTTGTTGTTGTTGCTGTTGTTGTTGTTGTTGTTGTTCGACGTAGCGTTGTGTTGTTGCCTGTTGTGTGTTTGTGCGTGCATCGTCCATCTCACCTGTCGACTGCATCGCCACTCGTGCAACCAATGCGGTGATGCACTGCTCCATGTCAGGTCCCGGGTGTCAAGTGCAACGCAATGACATTCACCCCCGATGGAAAACTCATTGTCACAGGATGGTGCGCACGCTTTGCTCTTCTGACGTCTTATGTGCCATGCGCTTGTGTATGTGTGTATGTGTGTGTGCGTGACGCGTTCTGTCGTGCTTGTTGAAGGCGCTGCTCGCTCAACCCCAGCCCTCGCTCGCGCTCTTGTGTGCATGCAGGGAGGATGGCGTGATTCGCGGTTTCCTTCCCCAATCCGGCAAGGAGAAATTCAACATCCAGCACGCGCACAACAACGGTGAGTACAGTGTTGGCCCCGAAACACATGCACACGCGTACAGACAGACAAACAGACAGACAGACAGACAGACAGACATACAGGCAGACATTGCATTCAACGCTTCGCCAGTCTATGGCATTTTCCCTCATTCATTCCATCAGCGAGTCAACTCACCTTCCTCCTCCCTCTGTGTGCATGTGCAGGCGTGACTGCGATTGCAGTGACGAACGACAGCGGGCGGATTGTGAGCGGCGGCGGCGACGGCCTGGTGCGCGTCTGGCGTCTCGGAAAGCAGTCCCAGACCCTTCTTGAGAGCATGAAGGAGCACAAGGTACGCAGCATAAGAACGCGGCATGAGAGTGCAGCGTGGGAATGCAATGTGGGAATTGGGGGACTCTTGCCTTGGCCTGTGACATTCTCGGTTCATTCGCTGCACCACGTACAACCCCAGCTCGCTCACCACTGTCACCATCACCCCCTCTCCCCCAAAGGGCGCCGTGACGGACATCCGTGTGCGGTCGAATGACGAGGAGTGCGTGAGTTCGAGTGCAGACGGGTCGTGTATCATCTGGGATCTCAACCGCTTTGTCAGGAACCAGATTATGTTCGCCTCCAGCGTCTTCTCGCAGGTCCGCAGTCACACACGCATACATGATTTTCAGCAGTTGTTGTGTTTCGGTGTCGTGCATTTCCGCTTGCTTGCATACGAGCACTGTTCATGCCCTGTCACACTTATCGATCGTGGCGACAACACCCTTGTGCCCATCCGGCTACAACCTCAACCGCATCGAACACACACACACACACACACACACACACACACACACACACACACACACACACACACACACACACACACACACACACACACACACACACACACACGTACGTACGTCG